TCCAGGTGCTTTTAAAATGAGTTTATACTCTATGATTACATTATATTGTTGTGCCCAAGTTGCAAAGTCCCCAGAGACCACCAGGAAGATGGATCCACTAAGCTGTAAAAGCAAGGTTTTAATTGTTCATCCATCCATGACAGGGTCCCCATCTAGTAAGCTGACACAGCAGCCTCCAGAGAGAGTGAAGTTTCCTGTCTACTGCTAGGTTTTATAGGCAAAAGTTACAGGATTACATCAGTAGGTACGGGTTGGTTTCTGATTGGTTGACATTTGGGAACAATTAGGAGAATTACTCAAAGTCATATTTTGGCATGAAATACCTGTGTACCAATTATCTTCATTGGTCAGTGCTAAGAGGGAACATTCTGTGGTTTCTATGGAATTGTCTTCTTACTTGCAGGTGGCCTGTTGTTCATAGATACCAATAGTTTTCAGAACTATATCATGGAGACTATACGGGAGGTTTTGGTCTCCCCTGGGGTTTCTTTTGTGGCCAAACAGTTCCCAGAAACCAAGTATTTAGGAGGCTAGCGGGGGGGGGGCGTCTGGAGTTTCTTTGTGTTTCGTTTTGGCCCTAGGCTCTGGGAGGCCAGAGGATCTGGAGTTTCCTTGTGTCAGAGACCTACATGTCTTTTCTGTAGCCTGTCATGGCTACTAAAGCAGGGGGCTGAGTGAGGGTCTGGTCCTTTTGTTTCTAAATTATTAGAAGTGAAGCCTTTGAGTTTAGTTTACCCCTTTCAATATAAAACTCAAGCAAGGACAAGCTAATCTAAATTGACAGAAAGCAGATGGCTGCTTGCATTAAGCAAGGCAAAGAGAAAGGTTACAAAGAGGTATAACTTGGAAACTGTGGGGTGACAGATACATTCATTCTGTTGACTGTCGTGATGGATCGTGGTGTTTGCATATATAAATCTTATCTTATAAGTCTATACATCTACAAAAGAAGAGATTGAAATGCACACTCGATCTCTTACAGTAATTCTGGTTCTGGAAATTCAGGGTGGGATCATCACAATGTTTAAGTTTTACCCAAATGATTGGGGATGTTTCAAATACAGAACCTTCGGAGCCACAGTTGTGGAATATTCCTTTACACCGCGTGAATATATGTCACTATGATTGATTTAATACAGAAGCTGACTGGCCAATAGCTGGACAGAGTAAGGTTACGGGGAGAGCAAAACAGAGCAGAGCATGCTGGGAAGAAGAAGGGCAGAGTCAAAGGAGTCAAAGGAGTGTTGAGCAGAGAGAAGCAAGATAGATATGCCATACTGAGGAAAGGTACCAAGCCACATGGCAAAAAATAGATAAATATATGGATTAATTGAAAACGTAAGAGTTAGCTAGTAATGAGCCTGAGCTATTGGCCAAGCATTTATAATTCATATTAAGTCTCCATGTTGGTTATTTGAGAACTGGCGGGTGGTAAAGAAAAGCCTGCCTACAACAATGAGGACATTGATTACTGTGTGTGGTGAAATTGAAGTGCGTCGAAGGCATCATTGCAGAAATCTGAGTCAAACACCTCTCCTCCAAGTATAGTTTCATTTGAGAACACAGGCCCCTTACAGATACACCATTGCAAGTGCTAATTGCGACTTTTGAGAATTCTGCTCAAAAGAGTCTGGGGCATCATTTCTACGCTGAAGTGCCTCATGGAGACCTTGTCACATCTCGTGTTTCAGTTCTTTTACTGAGCCTATTGTGGCATTAAGTAGATGGATCTTTTATATTCTGGGGAAATCTATCATGTCTAGACATGGTCTGGGTGTTTGCTGTTGATTGTGTTTGTTTGTTGCTTCTGTCAGGTAGCTAACCATTAGAGCTTCCAGCCGCCAAGTCCATCAAGGTGGCTTCTATAACATTATTTGCAGATTCGAGTTGTCAGGTGTCCTCCAACACTGTCACCATGTTCTCTGCACTTAATACCCTTTCAGGATAAGTCAAACAAAACCCAATAGAATATCACATTAAATTCCTCAGAGGTGCAAACACAAAAGAATGCAAACTACTACCAAGGTCAACTCTACTTATTATTCTCAAGAAGATATGCTTACACTGGGTGTTCACACATGCCTTTAATCCCAACACTCAAAAGGCAGAGGCAGATGGATCTCTATGAACTCAAAGACCAGCCTGGTCTTCATAGTGAGTTCCAGGACAACCAGAGCTACATAATGAGACCCTGTCTCACAAAAGAAAAAAAAAAGGAAGGAAGGAAGGACAAAAGAAAGAAAGAAGGAAAGAAACTAGGCCTATAAGAGGCTCACTGGAGTGATAGCTATATAATTACAGTTTAAAATATTTTAAGTAATCTGAGTGGAATTTTGAGTTCTTGCTGAGTTTATCAGAAGGCATGAGATAATTTTAGGAAACAGTATTTACATATTTATGGATTTAAATATATATAAATATTGAAGTACTTTGGAAAATTTTGTTTGTTAGTTAAAAAAATGGATATAACGTATTCATCCCATTCTTTGGTTCACAGATACAAAAATATAAATTTAAAGAGAGATAGAGATGTAAAATCACAGCTTAAACTATTTTAAAGTATTGCACTTTATTCATAGACTTTACAAGTAACCACTAAGCTCTGCTAGACTAAAGATATGATTACGCATAAAAGCAAAATGAAAGTAACACTTTAGTGATTTTTACTTTAATATTGTCTATTCTATTAATCTGGGGAGGGGCTTGGTTTAGTTTCAGTTCTGGTTTTGGTTGTGGAGACAAATTCTTGCCGTGTAATTCAGGCTGGAAGTCTGAGCACTGGGATTATAGGTATGTGTCAGCATGTGAGGCCACTGTTAGGAATAAAGTGTGAGGAACCTCAGCGGACTCCATAGCAGGCGAGGGTGACCGAGGCTGGGGACAAACATGTCAGGCAGACACAGCCTGCCTGTGAGAAGTTTTATTAGAAAGGGAAGTGTGTGGGGGGGGGAAGAGACACGGAGACAGAGAGAGAACAGATGAGAAGAGGAAAACAGGAGAAATCCTGAATCCTTCACAGACTATTAATTTGTGTGTGTGAGTGTATGTGTGTGTGTATCTGTGCAGTGTGTGTGTGTGTGTGTGTGTGTACATGTTTGCATGCATGAGTACGAATGTGTGTAGAGAGACCTGAGGTTGACATCAGTAGTCCTCCTCCATCATTTCCCACCTCATTCATTGAGGCAAGTTCTCTCAGTTGACCGCAGACTGGTCAATATGGGTAATCTAGCTGTAGGTTTGCTGTGAGCATCCCCCATCTCCACCTGGAATTACAAGCAAAGTTCCCCTTCTTTTTTTTTTTTTTTTTTATTGGTTTTTCGAGACAGGGTTTCTCTGTGGCTTTGGAGGCTGTCCTGGAACTCGCTCTGTAGACCAGGCTGGCCTTGAACTCACAGAGATCCGCCTGCCTCTGCCTCCCGAGTGCTGGGATTAAAGGTGTGTGCCACCAATGCCCGGCTTAAAGTTCCCCTTCTTTGTCACCTCCCTTGGCTCAGTTTTTTTTGTGGGGGGTGGGGAGAATCAGACAGCTTTTCAGAGAACAAACATTAGCTACGCAAATAACCAGGGCTTTAGTCCAGTGTGCCTGAAGCCTAGATGGACAGAAGGCCACTGGGCAGTAAAACTCTGAGGTCATGGACCTTAGAAACAGTGTGATTTGTTCATGGCAAGGACTACAGAGGATCTACAGGATAAAGGATCATGTCTCTCAGCGTTGCCATGGGGACGACTGGCTGGGTTAACTGAATGCTCTGTGGATAATGACTCTTCTTTTAAAGAGAAAATAGCTCCTGTATTCCAAAGACTAAATGGCAGAGCAGGTAAATAGAAATTCTAGGAGGCCAAGAAGTGGGGAGCAATTGGCGGTGTGAGCACTGTAGCAGGAGCAACCCCTTGATTAGGGAACTGGAATCATTCCAGTCCCCCAAGGGCGAGATCCCCACCAGAGGATGTGGGCTTTTCTCAGATAACATCTTTTATACACAGAATATATATGAGATTTGTAAAACTCACTCTGAGCCGGGCGTTGGTGGTGCACGCCTTTAATCCCAACACTCGGGAGGCAGAGGCAGGCGGATCTCTGTGAGTTCGAGGCCAGCCTGGCCTACAGAGTGAGTTCCAGGACAGCCTCCAAAGCCACAGAGAAACCCTGTCTCGAAAAACCAAAAAAAAAAAAAAAAAAAACCTCACTCTGGATTCCATAAGCTACAGCCTTCAAATAACTCTGAGCTATCCCACATGTCTCATGGATCAGGCATGTCAAAGGAAGGGAGACCCAAGGAGAATTCCCTTTAAGGGTCTTAGAGGCATTCTGAAACAAAACCATTTATGACAGTACCCATATGTGTGTGAAGAACTTTCCAAGCAAGGCTATGAAGAAACTTAGACCTCACATCCCTGGATTGCCGACTGGCTATCTTGCTGTAAGGACTTTGGACTTTATCACCAAATCTCATAAAACAATTGTTCATGTATGCTCCATCAATAGCTAAGTGAAAATGTCTTTGATGTTCCCAGAGTTATCCGATCACCCACATTACACTAAATGGAGCTAGACGATGGGAAGATAGTGACTCAGCCCCAACATCTGTGCAAGGCCAGCAGCAAGAGTTTTAGGAGGTACATGTCCATCCAACCTGTCATCTGTCACTGGTTTGCCATGACACCTTGGGTCAATGACTCCCCAATGCTGTGCCGTCTGTGAAATGTTAATAACAACACCCCCACCCCACATCCGCTGTCCCTCCTCTATCCACCTCTCTCTCTCTCTGTCTCTCTCTCTCTCTATCTCTGTCTCTCTCTCTGTGTCTCTCTCTCCCTCCCTCTCTTTTTCTCTCTCTCCCTCTCCCCCTCCCCTAAACGAGAATCTGTCTCTTTCCTAAATAAGAGAGATAGTGTGTCTGTAAAGTGCTCTGAGCTCCTTGGAGATAGAAGCTCTATAAATATAAGCTGTTATCACTGTCACCATGGAAACACACAGAGAGAGCTGTGCTCCATTCCTACATGTGCTCGGCATAGCTCTGACCTTCTTGCTTGCTGGCTGTTGAACATCAGCGGTTCTACAAAGCAGTGTGGCCAGGCAGAGGTGGGGACCCAGGACTGGACTTGGTCACTGTTCAATCCTCCTCTATGACACTTTTTAAAAGAGAGATTGTGTTTCTGCTTGCTAAGGTAGTGGTATAATGCTGGCAGAAGGATGAAATTTGTGATGGACTTAATTGGCAGAGCACTGATTCCAGGACCTGAGTTGGAAACCCCGTTCAACCAGGGAGCAATTCCAATGAAATTCAGGTAAAATATCCCACACATTTCTTAAATTTGTTCCCAATTCTGACTCTTTGACCTCCAGACAAAGGTTAGAAAAACTTGGTGATGATGAGGATTACAAGTCTGTGCCTTCCTGCAAGGGTGTGGCCTTCTGGATAGCAGAACTAGGCTACTGTCATTACTATCTCACTGGGTCTAGTACAGTGCCTGGCATGTAGCAGGTGCTTGGTAGAACTTTGCCAACAAAGTGAATATCTGAATGAATAAGTGGCCATCCTTTTCCCTTTCACAGCTGAAAGCGGAGCTGAGTAGGACAGATGCATCCAGTGACAACCTGGACTAAAGAGTCTAGAGTATATTATCTCTCCTTGAGGCTTATCTGACTCCCCACCCGCTGTCAAATACAGGAATAGTGCCCCCACTTGTGGTATCATGAGCAGTCCTGGGAGAGCCAAAAGCCTTATACAGAATGGCTTGGAATAACAGCTTCATGGTGGCCCCAGCTCCAGGGCTGGCTTCACAAGTGTACTGTGACCCAGTCCCAGCACAGAGCATCTCCAGACTGGTTTAGTGCTCAGTCATCATTCACTTGGGCTTTAAAATAATGTGACAAGTACCTCAGACTTTGATTTTGCACCACGTAGCAGGGTTTGCTTGGCTGTCTGTGGTATTTAAGTGGTTTCTCTTCATTCACATCCTGTAATCCAGCTTCATGAAGGAACGGAATCACAGTGGTTTATTTTGGTGGGATTGGAACATCTCCTAGGCCTGTAGCCTCAAGTAAGTACATTATTCAACATAGATACCTTTCTTCCCATGTAGTGACAAGCTAATACAAGGGAATGGACACGCATTTACTCCTTCCATGAAGCTGTTCTTTGTATACGTGATGCACTAAGGCTATTTCCTTCAGACACAGCATGACAATGGGCTTTCATGAGGAAGAGTCAGTTATTGAGTGACCTGTGGAGTATCTGGCCCACAGTCAAGTCAGCAAGAGGAGTAGAACAATAGGGCAGGCTAAATCTGTGGCAATGGTAATGCTGCTGCTAGCATTTCCTCAGAGAAGGGGGCGGCACCTGCTCAGACACTACCAGAGCAGTAGTACTGCTTCCCCTCAGCTCTCCTCTCCGCTGTGTGTGGTCTTGGGGAGCTGAGGAAGTTGCTACAGAAGGTGTTCTAAGAGGTAGATTAATTAGATGGGATTGTTGCCATGGTGATGAACTTTTGTGAACCGCTGTCATGCTGTTGTAAGACTTTTTTGGTAATGCCATTGCCTTGGAGCCATCCGTGCTCTTGTAAGTGATGCCAAGAGACTTACTGGTCCATCAAGCTAGACTTGGGCGAATCTTTTTTTTTTTTTCTGAACTGCCGGTGCCTTTGCTGGGGTAAATAGGTATTTAATTATGTCTCTCCAAGAGAAGCCACACAATAGCATTATTTCAGTGAACTAATGGAGTCATTACAGTCTCATGGCATTCTGTATTCAGAAGGTCTTGAAGAAGAAAGAGTAGAAGGGTAGGGAGAGGGTCTATCATCAGATGAATGACTATTATAGGCTATTATAGGATGGAAAGCACTGGTGCTTTCCATCTTCAAATTAACTGGAAACCAATTAACAGAGAAAAACAAAGATTAAGTAATTGCCTGGGCCACTAATAACCAAGAGGTGGGAGTCAGAATCTGTTTGTCTAGTTTTTTTAAACTTGGGCTCAAAAGTTAATTTTAATATATTTAGGTTATATTAGCACCACTTATTGTTATGCCTCAGCAAAAAAGAAAAGCTATGTGGCCTGTTTCAATTCTATTCTTTACTTATGGGCAGAGAGTAGAGGAGCAAGGGGGATGGACATAGACAAATTCAGTTTTCAATCAGGAGAAGACTTTGTCTGACATCCGGAGAATTCATTGTCCTCCCACAACTTCGTTTCAGTACTAGATAAAAAGAAAGAGACTGTTGTCATTATTTGGAGGACTTAGTAAGAGGGAATGCAGGTGTGCTAATGACTCAGTCTGCCATGCAAAGGAGGCCACCATCACAGGAGCATGTGACAGTGACACTTCAGAGGACAAGGAAACTCACTTCTAGTCACTATAGATTTGGGTCTTTGTGATCTCGGCTTAGTTTTAACTAACAAGAATTACAGACCAGTTCACAAATGATGCTTCCTGTGAGTCAATGTCCAGCCAGTCCCCTCTGCCATCTGAGGCACCCTGATCACAATAGCAGTTTAGACAGACTTCTAGGAATCTCTGTACATCATTTGGTGATGGAGGTAGCTGAACAAGCATTTAACCTGAAATCTGCTACTATGCTTCCCGAAAACTCCTCTCCCTAGAGATCATGGACTCTGTCATGTCCTAAAATTTCCAACATGCCATACATTGTAAGTGCACGTCATCTAGTCATACATGTCATATTCTAATTACATCATAGGAGAGTTTTCCATGCACCTGGAGTTCTTAATGTATGACACCTTTAAGTAAAGGACTTGTTAAGATGGATTGCTAACCTTCACCTCTGATTCAGTAGGTCTGATGTCCAAGACTGTGCACTTCTGATAAACATCTAGATGCTTCTGTTGCTGCTGCTGGTGGTAGTACTGGAAGCACATGTGAGATCCTCTGGCACATAGTGTGTCCCTTCTGTCCCTCCCTGATGTATATATAGCACGTGACAGTCAGCAGAACATTACCCAAAGTCTGAATGCCAGGTGCTAAGGGCTACTCGATGGTAGAGTATTTTAGTATATTCAAAATACTGGGATGTATCTTCACCCTGTAGCATGGTAAGCAAACAAATACATAATTTATTTAACAAATCTTGTTGATGCTTAGTTGGAGGCAGGCATTGAAAACCAGTAGTTACAAAGCAGACAAATGCTGGACTTCAATGTTCCTAAATGTGAATGGGGAATATTGTTTATCAAATTTCTGCTAAGTCCTTTTACATTCAAGAGCTCAGGCTCCCACAAGAACAGTACAATGTAAAAAAAAAAAAAAAAAAACCCAGGCGTTGGTGGCGCACGCCTTTAATCCCAGCACTCAGGAGGCAGAGGCAGGCGGATCTCTGTGAGTTCGAGACCAGCCTGGACTACCAAGCGAGTTCCAGGACAGGCTCCAAAGCCACAGAGAAACCCTGTCTCGAAAAACCAAAAAGAAAAAAGAAAAAAAAGAACAGTACAATGTAACTGTCCTGTCCATTTCCAAGATGAGAATGTGGAGGGACCCTCGTGTGGTTCAGTGACTTTCACAGCACTCCATACCTGTGTCCCTAAAGTCTATGTGCTTCCCACAGCACCAGAGAGAAACACATATGATGAAATCCAGAGAAGGGACTTTTCCTTAAAATACCTGCATTCTGCCAGTTAAGGATTTCTCTTCCATAGCCATACCCAGGAGAGATCCCCAATGAACCTTTCGTTTTTAAGAGCCCAAGAACTGAGATGGGAGGACCCTGAATTGCAAGGAGGCAGTGGATAGTTCTTGTCCACACCCACTTACTGAATACCCGGCCAGGTGATTTGTTATTCAGAGCTTTTATATCGAGAGGGTTACTTTGAACAGCAACCTGGCATTTACTCAGCAGGTCCCTGGTTGCCAGTAACAATCCTTTCTTCTCACTGTCACACTTTTGATAAATGTTGCCTAGAGTTCCTGAGTGTGCTTGTGGACATTGACCTGGAAGCAAGAACTGAAGCTGAGATTAGAAAGACCACTGCTTACCACCTTGTTGCCATACTGGCTCAGCCAGTTTTCTTATGCAGCCCAGGACTACCTTGCTCAGGGGTGGCACTACCCACAGCGGCTGGGTCTTCCTCCATCAAATAGCAATTAAGAAAATGCCCCACAGACATGCCCACGGGCCAGTCTGTTAGAGGCAATTCCTCAGCTGAGGTTGCCTTGGGTGACTACCATTTACGCTTAGTGATTAAAAACTAATTGGCAGGCTGGGCGTTGGTGGCGCACGCCTTTAATCCCAGCACTCGGGAGGCAGAGGCAGGCGGATCTCTGTGAGTTCGAGACCAGCCTGGTCTACGAGAGCTAGTTCCAGGACAGCCTCCAAAGCCACAGAGAAACCCTGTCTCGAAAAAAAACAAAAAAAAAAAAACAAAAAACAAAAACAAAAAAACAAAAAAAGAAAAAAACTAATTGGCGAGGGGTTAGTCTCGTATTCTAGATGATTTATGTTTTAAATTTTTATCTTTATTCACGACCCCAGCTAATATATCTATTTGTGTCAGTGTTCCGTATGTTTTAGCAGAGTTACTAAATAATAAGATTTGAGTATATAGGGAGCTAATACAGTGACTGATTTTTAAACGAGAGATGCCAGTGATGGGGCTGGGGAGATGGATCACTGGTAAGAGCACTTACTGTGCAAGCAAGGGGAGCAAGCTGAGTCGGGATACCAGCTCCCACATAAAAGCCAGGCATGCCCTGATGCTCCTGTCATTCCAACTAGAGACTACAGGATTGAAGGGACCTGCTAACTACCAGCCTCACTCTAGGTTCATTGAGAGGCCCTGTCTCAAGAAAATAAGATAAATACACAGACATACTCACCTCCTTCCAACAACACATACTTGTGCATAAAACACCCCCTACACACAACAAATAAGTTGAAGTATAAAAAGAAATGACAGTGATTATCCAAGATCTTGACTTGTTTGTTTTTTTAAACATCCATGTAGTGTGCATACATGTATAATGATCATGTGGAAATCAGGTGTTTGTTTTTCTCCCTGGACCAAGTGAGTCCCAGAAATTGAACTTGGGTCTTAAGTCTTGGCAGCAGGGGGCTTTACACCCTAAGCCACCATGTGGACCCCTTCAGTTTGCTTTTTGCATTTGCTATTATTATTATTATTATTATTGTGTTGTGTACACGCACACAAGCTCGTGTTTGTCATGTGTATTCTATGGGCTATATGTAGAGGTAATTTGTTGCCATTAGTTCTCTCATTCCATCATCTGGACAGACTGAGCCCAGGCACCAGTCCATTGAGAAGTGTTTTTCCTTGCTGTTGTTTTAAGGAAGTGGGTCCCAAGGCACTGAGAATAGAGGAAAGGAGTAGGGGGAGGAATCCCTGGAAGGTAAAGAATCTTGCATCTTAGAGATAAGAACCAGCTCCCAAGGAAGCAGGGAGAGACAAGGAATCTAGGGGGAAGAGACCTTTGGAATCGAAGGAAGGGGGAAGAGGAGTAGGCAGTAAAAACTGCACAAGCGCTTAGCATAACCTGCCGTGAACTTTTGTGCCCTTTCTTGTTAAATGGAGTATCAGATCATTTATATGGCCAACTTCTCAGTTTGGGTTTGTTTGTTTTTTCCCTAAGAAAACAAGTATTAAAATTTCCCAGCGGCCAGGTTTAAATATCTTTCACAGGTAGCCATATGTCTTAGTAAATCTGGAGGCTTGAAATCAGACGTGGCTCTCGGGAGGCCTCTGTTCCTGGTTCAGAAGGCAGTAGGTAAGAACACTGAGTCACCCACCTATGGGAATAAGGGTTGATTGTCAGAGGAGCGATAACAAGCTGCTGATAGTAACCAAGTCCACTTCTTTAAAACCCTCTGTGCAGCAGCTAAGTGAATACACCCGGAACACACTTTGTCCTCAAACAGCCGGACTCCCTAGCCTCATTTAACAGCTGTCTCCACACTTGGAGTGCAGAGTAGTATCCTTTCTCTGGATTTAAGCAGACAGAGGTAGCACTTGCATGCAAAGGTCTTAATCCCGGAGACTCATTCCTACGGTTTTAAGTAGTCTCCTAGTTGTACCGTCTGTCTCCCACCTCCTGTCTTACCCTACAGTGGGGTTTCTCCAACAGTTCACAGCGCCCTGGGCTAGGCATGAGGCTTAGGAGTAGAGTGCTTGCCTAACCCTTGTGAGGTCCCGTGTGGTTAGCCTCTAGCACTACCAAAAAGATTATTTTACATAAACAAATAAACCCAGTTACCTAAAAAGCTCCTTCGTGTGCTGCTTTCTAAAAGGCAGTCATCTACTTCAGTAAAAGTAGGATAAAGGTCAGGAAGCTGCTGTTAAAGAGGTCAGCCAAGCAAATTGAAGGCAGGCTGCTCAGGATTTACACCGGTAACCTTTGCAACCGCTTCAGGGTCAGGGACATTCAGGAGAAGCAGTTGCACACACTCAGCTCAGTTAACTGAGGACACACTATGTGTCTGTCAGGCACAGTGCTGGGCTCTGGGCACACCAACCGATAGCGTGAAACCTGTTCTTAGGAATTTAAAGTTTAGGCAAATAGTTGTATGAGTAAATGGAAAAAGACAACTGTGACTAGTTCACAAAGAATTGCACGGTGCCAGGTAAAACCTCTGACTTAGACCTTCTCCCCACTGTCATCCCCAGAAGTCAAGGATTCTTCACTCCAAGGCTTGGTAGGAGTTATCCAGCCTAGAGAAAAGGGTGAACATTCCAAATGTGGAGGACCATGGGGAGTTTAGGACATCTGAGAAGATGACAGAAGTAACTGGGTATCTTCAGTCATTTATATCCAGGCTTGACCAACCCTCATGTAGTCTTCCAGATTTCTCTCCGATGCCCCATCCTTTTAGAAGGCTAATGAAATTGAAGAATTTGTTAAAAGGAACTATTAATTCACAGTTGAATGGGAGCTGCGTTAAGATCCTTGTCAGTTACTCAGAACCTGACACTTCTGATGACATTCTGGGACTGAGTGGATTATACATACATCCTGCGTCACCACAGCCTGTGCTAAGATTGGGCAACAGCTGTCTGAATCCCAGAAGGCCCCCATTCCCAAGAGGCTGACAGAGGCTGGATGTCCTGCTTTGAGGAGAAGGGAGAATAGGACATCCACAGCCAACCAAGTCAGAGAAGGTGCCTTGTGCTGTCTGCATCTACTTCCTGATTTCTCTTCAGGATCCTTCCAGCTTTCCCTCCTGCCTGGCGGTTCAAGGGTCACCTCCCCTTGCCCCAGCAGCCAGGATTCCTATAGAGTCTGTTGTGGGATGTCTGTTCACTGCTTGAAGGTGTATTTCTATGACTGGTGTAGTAAAAAAGCTGAATGGTCAATATTGAGCTAGGCAGGAGGTATAGGCGGGATTTCTGGGGAATGAGAGGAGAAGAAGAAGGAGGAATTGAGGCACTCAGGAGAGGCCATGGAGACACAGAACTAGTCGACACACAAAACGGGAGAGAGATAAAAGTCACGTGGTAGGATGTAGATTAATAAAAATATGGGTTAGTTTAAGTTACAAGAGCTAATGGGACAAACCTAAGCTATGGCCAAGCTTTCATAATCAATAATAAGTCTCTGTATCATTATTTGTATGCTGCCGGTCCAAAGGAAAGTCTGATTACAGCGTACTCTCATAATGGGTTGTTTTACTCACAACAGAAGAAGGAGATTTGATTTTTTTGTGGAAGAATAAAGTGTTAGATAATGCTTGGCCTCCTAGAATTAGTATTTTTTAAAAAGTCTGGGCAATACTAAAGATCTAGGGAGCCAATCAATGTGTTTACCCGTCTTCTTCTGGCCACGCAGCGATGGGACCTCTTGTTCTTAGCTGGACATGGTGCCCAGAATAAGGACCAAATTTCTTAGCTTCTCCTCTCCTCAGTGTTGCTATATGTCCAGGCTCTGACCAAAGAGATGGGAACAGAAGTGCCCTCAGACAGTTTCTAGAATGGATATTTCTGTAAAGGGCCGTTGACTTTCATTTTGTTTTCTCTTTGTCGTTTCTTCCAGCCAGAGTATGATGTCTGATGACCTAGACACCATCCTAGGCTACGAAAACAAGAGGAAGGATGGTTGAAGAACAGGCAGGAATCCTTGAGGACTTAGTGGATAAAGTCACTGGCCTGGGTCATCTGAATTTGTGAAGTGAAAATAAAATCTGATGTCACTGAGGCAATGTTATTCACAGTTAAATATACCTTGGCTCATAAAATGACAGGGCCATCCCTTTTTTCTTTTCTCCCTCTTTCCCTTCTTTCCTCTCCCAAAGGTATTTCTGTCATCATACATGACTGTTTCTCTACATCAACCCAACCTGAATCCTAAGACAGAAAATGAGCCAGGATTGGACCTAAAGCCTCTGAGCATATAACCCCACTACGACTCCCTAGTCACAGTCTCTACCCAGGTTTCTTCCATTCCTCATATGAAAATTAGCCTTCTTTTTACAAATCTGGTGGGTGTTTTGTTTGGTTTTGTTTGGGGTGTGTGTAAGCGTGTATCTGATTGATTGATGGAGATGGGGAGCAGGGCCTGGTGGGTAGTATCACACTGTACAAAAAGCTGTCATGTCTTCTAAACATATTTCTATAAAAGGACTTGCTTTTTCCATGAGGTTAGTAGCAGTAATACCGTAGCAGATAGGTATGAAACACTGTTACCAATTATTAATGAATGGAAGTGTTAAATACTTGGTCTAGCTGGATACAGGGACTGCAGCAGCCTGTCTGCTTAAAGGATTTGCTATTTGACTTAGCATTTGCATTTTCCTGTCTCCAAGCTCCTCCCTTTAAAGTAAAATAAAAACAAAATACTCTTGTTTTCATCACCTCCCTAAAAACTAAGCACATCAAAACGGAACATTTCTAGAATGATCTGGAAAGGTACAGTCCCACAGAAAGGAGAAAAGGAGGCACACTAGATGTGGTATGTGGGGCCCTTTGCCTGTGGCTGATTACCTGTGTGGTTCAGCAGCAATTCAATGCTGTAGGCCACATGGGAGGGAGGAACCTAGGCCATACCAGTCAAGGCTTAGGTTTCCCAACAACCTATGACCTGCTATGAAAATGTGCACTGCGTCAATCTGACTCCTACCTGAAAAGGAAACCTTGCCAGCTAGCAGTGGGAACTATACCTGCAGGATCCTGAGAAAGGCAGGGCTATAAAAACTGTAAGCAGAAGATAAGAACCCAGGAAGTCAGGGAGATTAGAAGGAAGCAGCAGCATTTGGGTGGGACGCAGCCAGTACTATGCTGGATGAATTCTGGATTTTATAACAGGGTTAGCTTCAGTGTACATCACATTCCTTGGAACCAGAATGACTTCTTTTGTTTTTGTTTTTCTTTCTTTCTTTCTTTTTCTTTTTTTTTTTTTTGGAGACAGGGTTTCGAGATAGCTTTGGAGCCTATCCTGGCACTTGCTCTGTAGACCAGGCTGGCCTTGAACTCACAGAGATCCTCCTGCCTCTGTCTCCCAAGTGCTGGGATTAAAGGCGTGTACCACCACCACCCGGCCCAGAATGACTTCTTAAGAAAGGCACAAATAGATAAGAATTCTACAGAAGAAGGCAACAAACAGAATGAGGGAGGTTAGACACCGTCTCACACAAGGACTAAAGAAATGGCAGCTTTCTTTTTAAAAAACACAAATGAGCTGGACATGATGGAGTACAATTTACATTTCTGTGTCCTGGGGTAGCAGAGGCAGGTGGCTCTCTGTGAGTTCAAGGCCAACCTTGTCTGTACAATGAGCTACTGGTCAGCTAGAGCTACATAGTGTGACCCTATACTATGGTGGAACGAGACTTTAATCCCAGCCCTCAGGAGGCAGAGGCAAGTGGATCTCTGTGAGTTCAAGGCCAGCCTGGTCTACAGAGTGAGTTCCAGGACAGCAAGGCTACACAGAGAAACCGTGTCTCGAAAGACCAACCAAGCAACCAAAAAAGTGAAAACACCAAGGGGCTGGAGAGATGGTTCAAAGGTTAAGGGCACTTGCTGCTTTTGCAAAGGATTCAGATTTCATTCTCAGTACCCGTATGGAGGCTCACAACCACCTGGAGCTCCACTTTCAGAGGATGCAATGCCCACTGCAGGCCTCCCTGGGCACCAGGCACACATGGAGCACATATGCATGTATGCAAGTACTCACACATATACATAATGTATTGAATAGCCAAACCAAGCAATGTAAAATTAGGAATTGGGAGGGTTGTTTCAATATATACAGAGATGCACAGTCTTGCTTCTTGTTCCTGCTTGTTGCTTCTTATCCTCAGTCACAAGGAGCTAGGGTTTAGCTCAGAATTTCCCAAATATGGGTGTTGCTGTTGGGAGCATACAGATAGGGAGTTGACAGTCACCTGGAGGCATTCAGTTGGAAAGAAGTTGACCTTGTCCTGCAGATAGGGGTTTGAACCAAAGGACCTCTGACATTAGTTAAATAGAGAGTCTATGGATAATCACTGCCATTACCTTCTGTTCTTTGACTGACTCTGCAGGAAGAAGTTGAAGATTAAGTTAACCATAAAGAAACATTCTCTTTGATCTCCAGAAGACTACAAAGTCTCCTTTGAGGGAAACAAAAAAACAAAAAATAAAACACAGAGGGTCTGAAAATACCTCAGCTCTCCATCTCATCTCCTTTTGTCCCTGGAACTTTTCTGGTGGGAGAACACTCTAGCACAACCCTCCTTCCTCAGATGGGCCTTTCAGAAAGGTGTCTACTATTGCCTCAGAAAAGTTAAGTGTATGTATATTGTGGGATATTTTGTTCGTACTCTGACACTCCAGAGATTGCTTAATAAAGTTTACTTTGAATTAGAGGTCAGAGCTAGCTACTGGCTGACCAAATTTAGCCATAGAGGCTTTGGAGAAAAGAGGACATATAGAGAGACATAGGAATAAGTGTGTGGGGGGGGGTGCTGAGAGAAAGGCTGGGCCATTTTTGGATGGAGGAAGGAAAGAAAGGAAATCACTTTTCCCCAACTTCTCTGGTCATTCAGGTTCTTATCCCAATACCTGACTCCAGAGTTTTTACTGATAAAGAATAATTAGATAAATGCTTCATATGTGTAAGCTTGTTTGTACATTCATGCGTGTGAGTGCATGTGTCTGCAGAGGCCAAGGGCATTGGATCCTCCAGAAGCTAGAGTTGTAGGCCATTGTGAGCTGCCTGATGTGGGTGAGGGGTACCAAGTTCAGGTCCTTTGGAAGAACAGCATGCTATTCTTAAGCTGCTGTCCAGTCCTTCCACCACTATGGAAGACTATGGAAATGAATTAATTTATATTTATTTTGAGAAAGGTATCACTCCTGGACTGAAGCAACGCTCCTGACTCTTAACCTCCTTAGTAACTGGGACTATTTTGCCACTACTCCATACTGACCCTCCTCCTCATTTCTGGTGACTGACCCTAGGGTTTTATGCATCTAGGCAAGTGCTCTCCACTGAAGTACATACTCAGTGCAACAACTTTATTTTTAAAGCTGAGGGAAGATGCATTCTTGGGTGCAAATTTTCTCTACATTTCCTCTTCTCTCTGGTAAGACCACCTCCACCACAAACACATCAATACAGAGGGAAAGAAAGAATCCTCGCATGTCTCACTGCACAAATGTCTTGTGGATTTATCAGTTAGGACACGGAACAGCAGAAAATGCCTCCCAGAAGTCTACCAGTTAGGATCCAGTATCCATGCAAGACAAGAAGCATCCTGTTTCTCCAATGTAAAAGTCCAATTTACCGCTGGGCATTGGTGGTGCATGCCTTTAATCCCAGCACTTGGGAGGAGGAGGTAGGTGGATTTCTGTGAGTTTGAGGCCAGGCTGGTCTACAGAGCGAGTTCCAGGACAGCCTCCAGAACAATACAGAGAAACCCTGTCTCGAAAAACAAAACAAAAACAAAAGTCCAACTTACCAAGGAGCCTACGTTAAAAGATCCCTTTGGGTTTTTGAGGTAAGGTCTCATGTAGCCCAGGCTGGCCTCAGACTCACTATTCAGGAGAAGATGACTTTGAACTTCTGTACTTCTGGACCACTGGGTTTACCAGGGCCTGGATCTCTCAGCTAAAGGGTTCTTATTTGGTATCTTCATACTGTTTCCTCATTTAGATCACAGATTCAATTTCAGACCTAGGGATATAGAAAGGTGGCAGAAAGACCACAGATGAAAGAGGTAGAGGACAGTGCCTATTTGTTGCCACTCGACCATTTCAAGGTATCTGAAACCAGAGCTGTTTCAGAGAACAGTTTGTTTTCCTATTAAACATGAGCGAGTCCATTATAAAGCAGAGTGACACCCTGTGGACTAATCAGGTGTCCTTCTGTGATGGATGGTGAGGGTACTCAACCTTGCCTCTTGTCAGGTGTTATCCAAATGTCTGCTTACATGCCAGCCATGCTGACCAGTCCACAGCCTCTCTCTCAAGCCCTACAACTACAGAGTTGTACATCTGGGCTGCTTTCCACACAGTCTGCCACGGAGCCATTTTCCTCTGCGCTGCACACAGCTTCTACTGCCAGGATGAGTCACCTTGCATCTCATCCTATCCCCTCCACCCTGTACTTAAAAATACTCGGGGGCTGGCCGAAAAGAGCCCCGCTGTGTGTGAGTGAGCGTGTGTGTGTGTGTGTGTGTGTGTGTGTGTGTGTGTGTGTGTGTGTACGTAGGCTTGGCAGCTCAGCCTTCTGCAGCCTCTGCAGAGGCTGACTGCATTCTGTTTGGCAGAGGGGTTTAGGGAGCCGACCAACCGCTCCAGGGAATTCTTTCAGCTCTGGTTCTCTCAAGCAGACTTCCAAAGTTGCACTTTCCTTTGCAGGCACCTCCATTCTAGTCTCCCCGATTTGGAGCCAAAGAATCTCATACTTGACACATCCCGTTTCTTCTCGCAGGCCAGTTTCTGGATGACCATCTTGCTACAGGCAGGGCTCTCTTGTCTGTTTTTTTACTGCTGGACCCCATGTCTGCCCCCAGGTAAATTCTTCATCAACTACAATAGCATCTGGCTGTTTACTGAGTTGGAATCTGTCATCCTCACTTCAATAACCCTCCCTCAGTTCTCTGCTGTCAATTCTGTTTAGTGCTTCTCCTCTGTCCACCCACACAGACTGTTAACCTTGGGCAGAACCAATCATAGGATGCCAGAACCATCTTTCTTCACCAGCCAGCACAGAAAGGGGATTGACGGTTGTTCTCCTCTCCTGAGTCTTTATACCGAG